AGACAGGAAGGCTATAAGACTACCACACTATATCGGCCGGTCACGCGTAAGCCTCATATTCTCGTGTCTTCGCCGCTCACAAGCGCTTGGCCGTTCCACTTTGGTCCGCAGCTGCTGCAATGACAGTGGCCTGCAGTTTAATTAGTCACTTCAGCACAGATGCAGAATGAGACTCATAAAACATGAGCTCTCTGGCCCTGCAGCAGTGCATAAGTCTTCCCCCCGCCTCACCCGGCTGTAAATCAGGCAAAAGTCCTCTTTATTTCCCAATAAATCCCCCTCGTATCCCACCGCCTGCTTAACATGAGCATGGTTTGTAAAGCCCACCACGTGCCGTTTAACGCTGGCACGTTTGGACTTGTGGTCCCCCAGTCCAGAATACACATTATGAAATGGCAGCTTGGGTCAGGAGGTCACATCTTAAAAGAACAGTTCATCCAAAAAATGAGAATTTGCTGAAAATGTACTAACCCTCAGGCCATCCAAGGTGTAGATTAGTTTGTTTGTTTATCAGAACAGATTTGGAGGAATGTTGCATTAAATCATTTGCTCACCAATGGATCCTCTGCAGTGAATGGGTGCCGTCAGAATGAGAGCCCAGACAATAATCCAGAAATAATCCACGACTCCAGTCTATCGGTTAATGTTTTGTAAAGCAAAAAGCTGTTCATAATAATTCATAATAACACTTCCTCAGGTGAAAAAAGTTCATTCGAAATCCACCGACATATTTGTTTATACACTCTAAAAACAACCCAACTTGGGTTATTCGGCAACCCAGTGCTGGGTAAATATTGGAAAGAACACATGCTGGGTTATTTTGACCCAGCTGGTTGGGTTAAACGTTTTTACCCACCATGCTGGGTAGTTTTATTCATCTATAGTCATCTATTGTTTACAAATTATTATATTGCTGGCTTAAAATGGGCTGGAAATTAAAAATCACACACAGAATTAATATAGGCAACAGCAATAATCAAAAGATGAACATTTATTATTAAGCAAGAACACCTATGGACAAAATACAAGTTAAATTGAATTTATTTGGGTAAATACAGCATAAACTTGTTTAACAAGCATTTTAGAAATAAAAAAGGCACATTTAAAAGTAGCATTTTAATTTAAGTGTATTAAACCGTTCTCTGTAATCGCTTTTTACCGAAATAGTGCTAATTCTCGTGCTGGTGTGTCGCCGAAATCTGAGCCGGTGAAGGGCTGCTGTTCGCGCTTCGCGGGGGAACTGCGAACTTTAGACCGTGGCCTCGCGTTTCACTCGTAGCTGAAAGATGTCATGACTAACTCCAAAACCTGCCCATAAACAAACAGTACTGAGATTAGAGAACATATTTTAACATCAAATTAAATTACACTCAGTATTATAACGAATAAAATCCATTTATGTTATGCAAGGCAAAAGGCGTTTCCATCGTGCAAAACGACCGCTGCTGACGCAGCTGACATCTCATCCTTATGTTGCGTTGCATAAAATAATATAATTTGCACCACAGACATTTAAAAGTAGCATTTTAATTTAAGTGTATTAAACCATTGTCTGTAATCACTTTTTCATTGAAATAGTGCTAATTCTCGTGCCGGTGTGTCGCTGAAATCTGAGCCGGTGAAGGGCTGCTGTTCGCGCTTCGCGGGGGAACTGCGAACTTTAGACCGTGGCCTCGCGTTTCACTCGTAGCTGAAAGATGTCGTGACTAACTCCAAAACCTGCCCATAAACAAACAGTACTGAGATTAGAGAACATATTTTAACATCAAATTAAATTACACTCAGTATTATAACGAATAAAATCCATTTATGTTATGCAAGGCAAAAGGCGTTTCCATCGTGCAAAACGACCGCTGCTGACGCAGCTGACATCTCATCCTTATGTTGCGTTGCATAAAATAATATAATTTGCACCACAGTAAAGACTTTATAAATTAAATAAAATGTATACAAACCTTTATTTCCCGGAAAGTGTGCACCAAATCAGTGGCGCTGAGAACCGCTCTCTCCTATAGGACTCAAAAAGCCCATGCTCTGACTGTAACTCAGCAGCTCCGTTGTTTCATCGGAGACAGGCTCAACCCAGCGGTTAGGCTTAAAAAAAAATAACCCAACAACTTAGTTACAGAAAAATTACCCAGCACCTGGGTAAAAATATTACAAATAACCCAATAAAATGACCCAACAAGATGAACCCAGCATTTTTTAGAGTGTAGCTGTTTTGGACCGTTTTGTGCTTGTAAATAATGCTGGATATGTGCATATTTCTCCCGATTCAGACAAGATGGCTTTCTCACTAGAAAAAGCAACTTTATGGATAGAGGACTTGTATTTTTGCCAGAAACAACACTTTGAAATTAAAAAAACATCTTATTAATGGATTACTTGTGGATTATTGTGATGTTTTAATCAGCTGTTTGGACTCTCATTCTGACAGCACCAATTCACTACAGAGGTGATGTAATGCTAAATTTCTCCAAATCTGTTCCCATGAAGAAAAAACTCATTTACATCTTGGATGGCTTGAGGGGGAGTAAATTTTAAGCAAATTTTCATTTTTGAGTGATCTATTCCTTTGAGGCAAGACACCCCAGATGAATAGGGTAAATAAAATGTTGTATAAAATCAGGAAAAGTATATATAAACAAACCCCCTCTGTCAAAACCGTTTGGTGTATGTAAGTGTTTCTGAAGTGGAGATTTCTGTGCAGTGCATGAGAAGAAAAAAAAACTCATTTTGAGAAAATAGCAAATACAATAAGCACTTAAAAGTGTATTTTGCATGTTTTCTTCCCACTAGTCTGAATAAACACATTATGAAAAGCCAAACAGCCCCAAATCTCAAAATTGACCAGTGCATGAAAAAACAATGTTTTTGCCTGTAGTGTTTCACCTTAAACACTAACATATATGAGCTTTCCATTTCACATGTGCGTTATAGTCACCGAAAATTGTATTCACCCCAAAATTTCCTCTAGCAGGCTAAGAGATCCGTGGCTCTGGACAGCTAATTTATCTGCTGGTGTCAAGCAGGAGGCAGGAGGGGGAGGAGGGGCGGAACCGGGCCGGCGGAGAGCGGGAGGGGGCGGCACTGCGGAGAGAATGGAATGTGACAGTGCTCCTCTCCGCTGTGTTCATTCCTAGTCTCATGCTAATTAGCACTGGGAACAGGCTGCCAGAGCCATGAGAGGTGCCTCTGGTGCAACATGATGCAATGCAGGGCTTCCCTGTCCTATATCAATGCAGAAACCTCTGTGGCTCATATCAAAGCTGCATCTTAGTAGACTGTGTCATCCTGCTGGGCTGGATCTGTTGCTTTGCTGCAGGCAGAAACAGGTTTATCAAAAGATCTTGTTTTCACGCCGTCGTCGGCATTGACATGTATTCAGTCATTTAATGTGCTAGGTAGGCTAATTGGTTAGAGCTCTACATGTTCTTATTAAATCCAAAGAAACGCTGGTTGTGGATCAGATGCGGTTTGATGAAAAACTGTAGGTCGGTCACTGAAGCTTTAGCTTGTGTTGATTCTGAAAATGGAAAAGGGCAGCTTCTATCGCTCTTATGCCTGATGAAAGGCTATTGATTACAAAACTGAATGAGTAATATTGAAGGGAATATACAGTCTGGGTTCTGTTGAGGCACTTTCAGTCCTTGCTCTCAGGTCTACATTCTTTCTTGTAGTTTGGTTGCTAGGCACTTCATCAGGAAACTTAATTAGAATGTGTGCAGGGTTTATTTTTCTGTCTGTTCTCTTACAAAGCCACTGCACCAAAAGCTCAAATAAAGGTCTTTTGCTACATACATAAATGGAGAAATGCACCAGCAAATTATCTACAAAATTTACAAAATAAAACAGCTGAAGGCATTCACTATAAATACCTCAAGTGAATTTAGGAATAACAGCATTATAATGTCCAGTATGAAAAATGGATATTCGTTTTGAGATTTGCTAAAGATTACATTTAGAAACACTGAAACTTTTAAATGTGACAATGCACCAAAATAGACCAATACCATAAAAAACAAATAAATAAATCTCTAATGTCAGCCAGTATCCAATATGGTACTAATATACATCTTTATATATGCTATCATTCAAAACTTTGCCAGTAAGAAATACCATTTTTATTATTTATTTATTTATATTCATTTTATGTAGATTTATTTATTTTATTTTATTAAAAGAAATCAATGCTTTTATTCAGGAAGGATGATTTAAATTGATCAAAAGTGAAAGTGAAGAATCCAAGAAAAAAAATCAAGTTATCATGGTTTCCACATGCACCAAGTCAGCATATTATAATGATTCATTCAGGATCATGTGACACTGAAGACTGAAGCAATGATTCTGAAAATTCAGCTTTACCATCTCAGGAATAAATTACATTTAAATATATATTCAAACAGAAAACCTGTTTTAAATTCTAATAATATTTCATAATATTACTGTTACTTTATTTTTTTAATCAAATAAATGCAGCCTTAATGAGCAAAAAAGTCAGTCTTTATAAATGCATATTGGGTGTTTTACCATAGTGATTGGTATAGCTGTTTTTTGCATTCTCTTTTCCAAACATTTTAACGTGCATATATGCTATATGATTTATTCCATTCAAACCAGCTTAGGCTGGCAACTTTATCTCCCCAGTGTCAGTGTTGGCTCAGACAGCTGATGTTTCAGGATCAAACCAAACAAACTGTGTTTGAGTATGTGCTAGTCTGTGTCATGCTATTTACACATTTACTGGAAATGTCACAAACAAGAGTATGTGAAAACTGTCTGCCAGATTTACTGAGAGATGTTTTTAGTCTAAAGATCGCATTTTTGGTGCTATCAGGCATGTGTTGATTTGAATTTGGATGACTGTGAATATATAAGGGAGATGGCATTAATGAATTTATTTAAAGCAGAATAACATCATTTGGCAGGGAATCTCACACTCAATTCCCAATCGAGAAGGTGCCTTCATTTCTTTGCGTTTGTGTTTCTCTTCGACGCAGATTCAAGAGCAGATGGAGCGCCACAGAAAATTGATCACGCCGTCATCGGCGGCATTGTCGCGGTGGTTGTGTTCGCCATGCTTTGTCTCCTGATTGTTCTCGGACGATATTTTGCAAGACACAAAGGTAAATCAAAAGGCACGATTCCGGCTTGGGCTTGATTTTGGGTTGTTGTTTTTTTTTTTATCTGTGGAAATGACAAACGTTCCTGTTTTAAGGTACCTACTTTACCCATGAAGCCAAAGGAGCGGACGATGCCGCAGATGCAGACACTGCCATCATCAACGCAGAGGGGGGACACAACAATTCGGATGACAAGAAGGAGTACTACATTTAACTCTGACTAGACCTGCTAGCTTCCTGTGCTGAACAGCAAACTGTGGACTGCTGGGTTGGGAGGTAGGGGTTGTGGGTTTCAATCAGGCTGGATTCACACCTGTGCAGCTGAAGAGACGGTGAGGAGAAGGTGCTGCCATCGAGACGGACGGGGTGTGGGATGGCAGAGCACTAGGATAGCTCAATTTTAGGCAGCTTCACCATCCAACACCTCCTGCTGGGGCCGGTTTTGTTCAGTTTAAACATTTGCTAAGAATTTTGTGCCTTGTTCTGTTCTTACTGAAGTTCCCACTTTCATCAGGACACCCACAAGCTACTGTCTCTCGAACAGTTCAAACCCGAGGTTATTTTATTTTCGTTTCATTTTGGTTTTAATTGCCAGCACATCTTAACGCTCTCTCTCATGCCGTTCTGTCTGCAGGTCTGAAAGAAAGCCAGATTCGGTCACAGAATAATCAATTGGGTTGTTTTCATGGATTGATTCCAAGTAATTTATTTGGCAAATTGCCTGTTGCTCTCCTTAGTCCCTTAGAGAAGATAGAAACCTCTTTTGTTGTGACCAACAACATTCAGCAGCAGTATTGTGTTGTTGCGTTATTTATTAGATATACTGTATGTGATTATAATCGGCTTGTGTTGATATTAGGGCTGTCAATTGAACACATTACTTCAATGCGATTAAATATTTAAAAAATGACGTTAAGTCAATAATGCCCCTGATCCATATGTAAATTTTGTCAATGACATTACATATTTTTGTCCAATCTATTTATTTATTCAAATTATTATTATTATTATTATTAATCTTTTAATTTTTTTGAAAAAATTTATCAAAACTGCTGCATTGCTTATATTAAAAATCAGAAAAATTCAAAGTCATGTGGTGCAATCAACATGCAAAAAAAAATAATTTATAGTTTAAGTAATGTAACTCCCCAAAGATGTAATGATATTTATGAATTAATACTTTGTAATTATTATTGATGAATTAATTCATTTATTTATTTATGGATTAATAATTAAAATTTTACCATTTTACTTTTGTCAAGATTTGTTTTTCAAAGCTGAACTACTCATATACGTGACATGGTGCCTTAAAACGTGGTGCTCATGGCGTGAGGTGGCAAAAAGATTTTGCATTTCAACAAAACATCACAGACTGAATACAATGACAAATCCTGTGTTATCGGAAAGGCAGACAGCCTCCAAAATCATTTACTGTGGACTGTAGGGTGATTGACTTAGAGGCCGTCCACACAGAGATGCGTTTAGCTGTATACGTAAAATATTTTGTATCATATCGGTGTTTCATCCAGACGGATCCAGCGTTTTGGGAGCCTGAAACCACTATTTTTTTAAACTGGGTCCCAGAGTGGATAAATCTGAAAATGACACCTTTGCATTTTCGTGTGTACAGCCAATCCGTATATACAAACGTTTGTATACAGCAAACGCAAGGTTTATGTGCATGCTCCAAGTCTTCTTCTCCATTTTTAGTGTATCTCTGTGGCAGAATTACAGCACCACATACTGGTCTGGCATGTATACTACAACATTTTGAGTCCATTTTAGTGGTTTCGTGTGTACGCAAATATTTCTTGAGACGATGCCGTGTTTAGGGATTTTATTAGAACGAAAAAAAAAAGATCGGATAGGGAAAGCTCTTGCTTCGTGTGGATGTGGCCTTATATTCAATGATAAGGAAATTTAACAAACAGTATAGTGTCCTCCAATGCCTAATTTGAATTAATTTGATTAATTCATCAGCATATGTTGTAGTTGGTTTGTTTAAAACTGTTAAACGATTGACAGCCCTAATTGTTCCTTAGATATACTGTATGTGATTATAATCGGCTTGTGTTGATATTTGGTTCAAAGCCCCTCTTTTTTTTCCCGACGTAAAGGATGCGCTCCATTTGAATGGTTTAGGGAAGGCAACGCACGGAAGCGGCTTTCTCTCTGATCAAAAGAGTTTTCCACTTTGATTGCGGTGCAAAGAAAATGAATTATCATTTGAAGTTGACTAATGTTTCCTTGTGATTACAAACCAACTTGCATGCAGCAAGTCACTCAGAAAAGCTGAATGGCTGTGAGTTTGATATGAAAAGGCCTCTCACTGACACACTGTAGATGTCTGCTACGGACTCTTGGCATATTTATCATTCCATCTACACAATTCGGGGGAAAAATGTCACCAGCCATATGCTTTGTGACATGTAGCGGACTGCTTTTAAAACATTTGGCAGCGCTTTGCATTCGCTGACTTCACTATGTGAATGTGATTTAGCTCACAGAGAGCCGCAGATAGTAGCAAATGTCTTTGTCACCCCTGTGGCCTGCTAGCTCAATTTAGAGACTCTATCAGGAAAACATGCTTCAAAGGCTCCACATGCACAGGGTCCAATCTTTGTTTGGAAAGGTCTCCCTTTGTACCCCGGGACTGTGGTCCTTTCTCGCCCGAATCCGAATGAGTTCATGTTCAACCTCTCCTTAATGCTTTTTCTTTTTAAATCTTCTCGCCGGCAGAAAATCTGTCGTTCAGTGCCTCAGTTAAATGCCGTGTGATTTATGTTTCTTAGCCACATTGTTTCGCCTAGGTGTCCTTGGGTGAGCTGTGATTTGTTTAAAAAGAAATTTCCGTTTTCATTTCATCAGTGTGGCTTTCTCTCGTAGCCCTGAGACGAAACTCCAGGGAATGACCTGTGCGGAAACTCGAATCTAGATTTAAAAAATCCAATAAAAGTGAGCCGGCGAACAGATTTGCGAGCTCTGTTCCTGAAGATTTCCCTGATTACTTTTTGAAGTGCCTTTTTAGCGGGAAATGCCAGAAATAGACAGAAAGGCTATAAGACTACCACACTATATCGGCCGGTCATGCATAAGCCTCATATTCTCATGTTTTTGCCCTCATGACCGCTTGGCCGTTCCACTTTGGTCCGCAGCTGCTGCAATGACAGTGGCCTGCAGTTTAATTAGTCACTTCAGCACAAATGCAGAATAAGACTAATAAAACGAGCTCTCTAGGCCTGCAGCAGTGCATAAGTCTTCCCCCCCGCCTCACCCGGCTGTAAATCAGGCAAAAGTCCTCTTTATTTCCCAATAAATCCCACTCGTATCCCACCGCCTGCTTAACATGAGCATGGTTTGTAAAGCCTACCATGTGGCGTTTAACGCAGTCCCGTTTGGACCCGTGGTTCACAAGTCCAGAATACACATTATGAAATGGCAGGTTGGGTCAGGAGGTCACATCTTAAAGGAACAGTTCACCCAAAAATGAAAATTTGCTGAAAATGTACTCACCCTCAGGCCATCCAAGATGTAAATGAGTTTGTTTGTTCTCAGGAATGGATTTAGAGAAATTTGGCATTACATCACTTGCTCGCCAATGGATCCTCTGCAGTGAATGGGTGCCGTCAGAATAAGAGTCTGGTAATCTGTTCTGATGAAGAAACAAACTCATCTACATCTTGGAATCTGAAATTTTTTTTTTTTTTCAGAAATATTTTGTTTAAATATGCAAATGAGGCATCTAATTAAATATGCACTAATTTCCAGAACAGAAATCTGAATATCGAATAAAGCCAGGTTTAAAATTGTTGTTTCATTTTGTTTACATACTAGAGTTAAAGGTGTTTGCAGAGGGGTTTTTTGATATCTTTTCACCCTGTTTTTAGGAATAAAATGTTGTATAAAATCAGGAAAATTATATATAAACAAACCCTTAAGTCAAAACCTTCAGAATATAAATGGGAATAAACCTGTAATGTTCGGTGTATATAAGTGCTACTGAAGTGGAGATTTCTGAAAAAAATCATTTTGAGCAAATGGCCTTTAAAGATATGTAACGTAACTGAAATCTACAAATGCAACAATACAGAAAATATATTTGCATGTTTTCTTCCCACTAGTCTGAATGAACGTATTATGAAAAGCCGAATAGCCTCAAATCTCAAAATTGACCAATGCCTGAAAAAATAATGTTTTTGCCTGTAATGTCTTGCTTAAATGCTAACATGAGCTTTCCATAACACCTGTGCATTATAGTCACCGAAAATTGCATTCACCCCAAAATTTCCTCTCGCAGGTTAAGATATCCGTGCCTCTGGACAGCTAATTTATCTGCTGGTGTCAAGCAGGAGGCAGGAGGGGCGGAACCGGGCCGGCGGAGAGCGGGAGGGGGTGGCACTGCGGAGAGAATGGAATGTGACAGTGCTCTTCTCCGCTGTGTTCATTCCTAGTCTCATTAGGACTGGGAACAGGCTGCCAGAGCCATGAGAGGTGCCTCTGGTGCAACATGATGCAATGCAGGGCTTCCCTGTCCTATATCAATGCAGAAACCTCTGTGGCTCATATCAAAGCTGCATCTTAGTAGACTGTGTCATCCTGCTGGGCTGGATCTGTTGCTTTGCTGCAGGCAGAAACAGGTTTATCAAAAGATCTTGTTTTCACGCCGTCGTCGGCATTGACATGTATTCAGTCATTTAATGTGCTAGGTAGGCTAATTGGTTAGAGCTCTACATGTTCTTATTAAATCCAAAGAAACGCTGGTTGTGGATCAGATGCGGTTTGATGAAAAACTGTAGGTCGGTCACTGAAGCTTTAGCTTGTGTTGATTCTGAAAATGGAAAAGGGCAGCTTCTATCGCTCTTATGCCTGATGAAAGGCTATTGATTACAAAACTGAATGAGTAATATTGAAGGGAATATACAGTCTGGGTTCTGTTGAGGCACTTTCAGTCCTTGCTCTCAGGTCTACATTCTTTCTTGTAGTTTGGTTGCTAGGCACTTCATCAGGAAACTTAATTAGAATGTGTGCAGGGTTTATTTTTCTGTCTGTTCTCTTACAAAGCCACTGCACCAAAAGCTCAAATAAAGGTCTTTTGCTACATACATAAATGGAGAAATGCACCAGCAAATTATCTACAAAATTTACAAAATAAAACAGCTGAAGGCATTCACTATAAATACCTCAAGTGAATTTAGGAATAACAGCATTATAATGTCCAGTATGAAAAATGGATATTCGTTTTGAGATTTGCTAAAGATTACATTTAGAAACACTGAAACTTTTAAATGTGACAATGCACCAAAATAGACCAATACCATAAAAAACAAATAAATAAATCTCTAATGTCAGCCAGTATCCAATATGGTACTAATATACATCTTTA